TCTGAAAATTTAACCATCCACCTCTTGAGAATGTTACAACCACGCCTTTACACTTCCTTGAGGTGTTTCCGAAGTGCATGCTTCATAATGGTCCAGTACTTCTCAATTGGCCGCAGTTCCGGTGCGTTCGGGGGATTTAGATGTTTCGGCACGAAATTGACCTCCTTAGCCTTGTACCACTCCAAAACATCTTTCGATTAATGGCCCGAGGCCAAATCCGGCCAGAAAAGCGTAGGACCATTGTGTGTCCTCTGAAGTTGAGGTAAACGATTTTGGAGGCATTTCTTAAGGTATACCTACCAATTGATCGTCCCAGTTGTCACGAATGGAGTGCTCCGCTTTCCACACGAGCAAATTGCTTGCCATATCTTGTATTTTTTGGTAAAATTTTAAAATCTTCTGCTTTCTGACGTCCTCAGGGACATCGAACTTATGATGAGCAGTGAAGAACAGGAGCCCCGGAAGCTGCCGGAAGTCTGCTTTTACATACGTCTAGTCATCCATAACAAGAAAATGTGGTTTTGTCAACATCTGGGTGTAGAGCTACCCTGCCCCTAATCTTATAGTCGACGTAACCACCAACAGCATCACTGGTGGGAAAACGCGTTTTTGTTGTATGCAGCCGAAAAGCAATATTTTGTAACAATTTCATTCAAATAATCTGTCCATTTGTTAAAGATTAACGGTCAGAAGTGGGCCGCTGGGCTTTTATGATTTATTGCTTAATTATTTCATCTCAAAAACGCATACGCCAGGTTATGCGAACAAACATACGTTCTGCTGAAGGTTTATTCGCATAGCTTGGCGTAAAAACCAGGTTACTGTGTTTGAAGTAGTATCAACATTCACGGCCACGTTGACAGATTTTCTCCAAAGCTCGTTAGATTCAGTGATAGTGAAAAGGAATTCAATTTGGAAGAATTAAAATGTCCGGAAGAGGTGCCCTGGATTTACTGCTGACCTATGGTAGTTCCGACTCGGAAGATGAGATTGATCCGGATCTGCCGACTGCGATTACAGACGATATACAACCACAGCCAGCCGTAGCAGCCGCACCGAGGCCAAGGCCACCAACAAAGCGAACCTCGGAAAAAAACAGAGCGCCGGGAAAAAAGGTTATCTGACCGGAGGCCCATTTTGAAAGATTGTGGATGCAGAGCAGTGTGTTGCGGCAAAATTGGACGTGACAAAAGATCTGACATCAATTCATGGTTCTGGAGATTGTCGAGAACGGAACAAAAGTCGTTCGTTTTGCAGTTCAGCAAGCGTAGCCCTGTAAAACGACGGCGTGGCCAGGTGAATCCTACTACCCAGAACTTTCGGAGACAATTTTCCTACGATTACCAACTTGAAAACGAAAGAGGAGTACCACATGATGTATGCTGCGCATTCTTCCTGAATACGTTGGGCTACGATATCAAAAGCAGGTTCGCATTTTCTAAGTAACAATAAATATCTAATTAAGGTAATCTTTAATCATGCTAACTTTAGCAACATGAACTATCGATACCACGACCAAGCGCATAAGGATGGAGCACCAGCAGAGATACGTGGAAGATACACCCGGCCTAGAACTCTTAAAGATACCGTCAAACAAGACATTTTCCGTTACTCACCGACAAACTCGCATTATCGCCGAGAGCACGCACCGCACGCGCTTTATCTGCCGTCTGACGTTTCGGCCCAGAAAATGTACGGTCTATTTAGCGAGCGCCAGTTGGATGAAAAGGAAGAAAGTTGCAGTTATGGGTTTTATTGCAAAATGTTTAAGGCATTGAACATAAAATTCACACAGCTTGGACACGAAGAATGTGAACGGTGCCATGCCCATCACATCCACGAAAATCAAACTGGACACTCTACTAAAACAGACAACAACGAGCTAGAAGAAGGATCTTCTACAAACCGGACCGCATGCGAGATGTGTTTGAATTGGAAGGATTATATCGCACGGGCAATTTCGGGGCGGGAGGAGTACGACAGCGATCGGTCGAACGTGACGATGAACGGATCGGTTTTCTCGGTCGATCTTCAAAAGGTAACTTATAAATATGAATTTACGAGTCCAATTTCTTACTCATCATATTAATGCAGGTGGTTCAGCTTCCAAGAATGGAATCCTTTAAGGAGGTCATTTTTTGCAAAAGGATCGTTGCTTACAATGAAACGTTTGCTCCACTGGGTGGCTCTCGGAACGGTCCCGTTTATGCTTTTTTGTGGAACGATGTGATTGCAGGACGAAAAGCTTATCACATTGCCAGTGTTTTTTACAAATTTTTCTATTCTCTTGGGTCCAAGTTCGTTATCACTTTGTGGCTTGATAACTGCTCGGCGCAAAATAAGAACTGGAATTTGATGGTCTTGCTGGCCTTGCTTATCAACTCTCCGGCCATTGAAACCCATCAAATTAATTTGAAGTATCTGGAGCCCGGGCATACTTATATGTCAGCGGATTCATTTCATGCATCGATTGAGCGCACGATGAAGCGTGTCCCTCGAGCAGAAGTTTACAGTTTCCCTGATTTCGTTGACTGCGTGGAAAAATCTGGAAGTGACATTAAGCCACAAGTTTTTGTGATGGAACCGGAGGATTTCTTTGAATGTTTATTCCAGTTTAAACAGTCTGTACTAACTAAGCTCAAAGACCGACCAAAGATGGCAAACATCAAACATGTCATCTTTACCAGAGGTTCTTTTGACATACAATATTCCTATAACTACAACGACGAAATGAAAACACTACAGATACTGACGAAAAAACAGCTGAAGGAGGTTTCCAAACCGTCATTCAATTTGGTTGATCAGCTTCAACGCCAAACAGAAGCAAGTGGAATCCAAAAATCTCAGAAGGATATTATTATTAAAAAGCTTTTGCCCTTGATGCCGGAGGAGAAACGTGACTATTGGATAAATTTGCCAGAGACTGAATCAGGTGAAGATGTTTAGAATGGCGGTGTTGATTTAATCGATGTAAACTTGGACTTAAATATATCATATGTTGAACTGAATATAACGTTGTTGTGATTTCATAAATATGAAGAAAAATTTTCAAAGAAAATAATTTGCAAATCGTTCAATACTTCAGAACAGGTCAATACAAAAATTATCATATTTGAAGAGTGAAAGCGCCTCGAACGCTATAAGAAAAGGTTCAGTACGTTAAACGGCTTGATGGCGTGTTTGACGAACCACGTACAAAGCTAGTGTGTATGCTGAATATTGAGAATGCAAAAGCGTGTAAAAGCAGCTTGAATGATAAGGGTTCAAGTGTACATGTGACAAATAGCAGGATTTTTATATTTGAAATATTGCAACCTGTATGGAGGGACGTCATTTTTGCATTGAAACGGCACTTACGCCAAATCGTTTTCTCAATATTACTCACATGTTTCTGAACAAAAAAAAAATGAGTTTGCATGTGGAGTTTGTGTATTATATGGTTAAGAATGCGTAGAAACAAAAAAGTGGATTTTGGTCATTGTGGCTCTTACGTCAACTATGCAAACATGGGCAGTACCGTGTACGTGATTTCCAAAATAAAAACTTGAACTACCCGCTTGTGATTGTTTGCACTATACGGGGATCCATTTTGGCCTGTTTTTTGCGATGAAGGCAACCGAAAACTGAATACTTCATCATATCTCAATAGTGATGGAGTAATACGACAAGCACTAAACTAAGGACACGGGATGAACTACAACAGATCAAATTACTGGTCGCAGTGGTGTCATGTCCCGAACAAAGGAAAAAAAATGTTACCCAAAATTTCAATAGAAAATACGCAATCGGTAAAAAGTTACAGCCATTTGAAAATGATGCAATTTGATTCCGTGTACCCTTGAGCCATGAAATTAATTTTTAGTATTGGTTCTATAACTCGATATTATGTTAGTGGACATCGAGATGTGGAAAGTTGATTGTATGTTGATTTATCTGATTTAAATTTCGTTTTTTTCATTTTTTACTAAATTCAATTCGATAGGGGAATTTACGTATTCTCGGCAACCTAAGCAGCGACCTTCTTTCTATAGCCTTTTTCTCTAAGGAACGCACACATATGCAGTATTGGTTTGTTCACAATCTTTTGCTGCCAGCTGCTCTAACAATTTCAGTCGAAAGAATTGTCAAAAACTGTTTTGAAACGCTTTTACAAAGCTCCAATCTTCTCTAGTGAGAGCGAGTATTGTCGGCAACCAGTTTTTCTTCGGCAAACGTTCCATTTGAACTGCATGTAAATCTACTGTTCTATTATCGGCAACTCGAAATCTGCTACAATTTGTAGTGCGTGTGTTTCATTTCAAGAAAACCTTGCTAGATTGCTTTTTCTCAGTGGTAAAAATATAGTCAAATTGAAGCTGAAAGAATAAAGAATCGTTTGCATGCGTTCAGCGAAGTGTTTTCGTAAGAAAATCCAGTGAAAATAGTGTTTCAATTTGGGTTGCCGAAAATAGTCTGGTATGCCGAAGCCGTCATTTCCTCTACATCATTGAACATATATTTTTCCATACAGGTACGCAAATTATATAATGAAAATGTTTTTCAAATTGGGTCAAAACTTGAGCGCTAGTGTAAAAAAAATAGTTTGTCTTAAATAGGCCATTTGCCGGACAATAGAACTTTCCATTTAACTGATGATTCAATTGAAAAACTGCAGAAAGTCTGCAATCTCCATTAGGGAATACTAAAAAAAAAACTGAAAACGACAGTTGAAACGAAAAGTGGTACACAATGCTGATGTAGTGTTGAAACCGCATTGCATTAAGGTATACATAGAGAAAAGCAACTCCTGCATCCCGCATCATCGTTCCAGTCCAACGTCCCACGCCATTTTACGTGAAATATTAATGAAAAGCAGAATCCTCCCTGGGCACGCCACCAACCGGAGCAGGTTGTCGTCGTACAGCTGGAGTGCTCTGATTTTCCCTTACGGGGATAATATGCCTACCTCTAGGCCGATATTGTAGGGCTGTATATACATTCATAAGCATCTGAATACTAACCTCCGTTACGTACGATGGCTGCAGGAATGTGGGTGAATATTCATTTATGTCAATCACCGAGATGTGAACGTTTGCGCTGAAACGGTAGACAGACAGAAAGAAAAAAAGTTTTTAATAATTGAATAATGCTTCACAGTATATTTCGGAACTGTTGGCGCTCGTGCACAAGGATGGAAAAAAAAAATCTAATTTTCCTCTTCTTCTTTGCTGTATATAACTTTGATGACAAGTTCCTGAATCGACCTGGTACTCTTACTTTGCCATTTATTGTCCGATGATATTTTTACCTGTTTTACTGTTGACAGATATGACATTGGGAGATTTATAATCCTAAGTTAGTTCACATAAATATATAATTTATTACAAAGGAGAACATGAGTAAAATTCGGGGGAAAAAGATAGAAGCAATACTAACATAGGGAAGTATTCTTTAAGGACCTACCATGCAGAATCATCGAATCATAAATTTGTCCACCTTTGATCAGAACATTAATTGTGATGCAAACAACCGAGCAACTTGCAAACAATGTTGTTTACAAAGATGGGCTTTTGTATACAATATTTGCTACATTGCATGAAATGTGTCAGAACTTTACATGATATATAATGTAAACGTATATGATATGTGATGCTCCATTTATGTGCATCATATTGAACAGAAATTTACACTACTTTTTCGAACTGTGTGGATCTCATCATCAATATAATGAAATCAGCATGAGAAAGAGCATGACCAACCCCACAAGAAACTCAAATTCATAGAATTATTTGAGTCACCTGCTATACATCCAAAACCAGTCATACAAAGGTTATATAACCGTTATAGTACATGTGTGTTTCTTGGGCCGTGGTTGCTGCTCAATGTGGAAATGCTGGTTGATATAATGTGCATTGTGCAATTCGTCTATTGTCACGTATGTGAAAAACTATAATTGAATCTCACATGTAGGAGGATTAATAAAAAAAAAAAGATGCTACAAACTTCCACAAGAAGAAGTTTATATTCCCAAGCAACTTCTAATAAGACACTAAATCAATCAAATTAACTCTAAAAGGGTAAAATAATTTCCTTCCATCCTTTGTCGATTCACGAATTGCGCCGTTTTTTGAATATAGGGGAAATGGCTCTAATGTTGGTCTATGGATCTAAGGCTGCACCCATAGCTAAAATCAGCTATTAATCAATTTTATCTAGATGAACGCGTCATTGTGACGGTACAAATGGATATTTTCGGCTGCTGTTGAAAATTTATTCGATTGCTGAATTTATGTATGGGCCCAAATTAGAAGCATTTAGGCCGACATTACATCCATTTCTCCTATTTATTTAAACTCGAATTAATTCAAAGAATCATCATTACGATGAACACAACGCAGTAAGCCTGGACGTTTTGATGATTGTGTCATATCCGGAGAACTTTGAGATTTGAGCGTAATTGTTTTTGTAAACAAACACTTTAATCGCCGATATCTCGCGAATAAAAGAACAATCTCTCAAACAAACTGTATCAAATCATAGAGGAACCATTCCTCTACCTGTTTGTGTTGTTAGTTTTTTAGATTGAGCTTTAGTTCCCGAGAAATCGGCAAATGACGTGTTTGTTTACAAACTCAATTACGCCCTAATCTCGAACTTCTCCGGATATCTCAGATATGCTGTAAACATCAATATTGTCAAGGAAATTTATTAGGCGTTATAAAGCCTAATCATTTTCCAGGATGCTTCCTGGCTGCGTTTATATCAAATTAGATTAGATTATATTAGATTAGATCATATTAGATTAGATCACATTAGATTAGATTAGATTAGATTAGATTAGATTAGATTAGATTAGATTAGATTAGATTAAGGGTAAAAGAATTACGATCACGGTTTGGTCCTCATGAAACACTGTGCAATGATCTAAAAATAATGAAAATCAGTTTTTTTTTCTGGCTCACACTATTTCTAGTGCAGTGGTTCTCAATTTTTTGTCGATTAAGATCCACATTGAGTCATTCCATAAGCTCGCGACCCACCAATGTAGATCACAGATGTTGTAACCCAATATTAAAACTGAAATCCAACATTAAATCAACTTAAAAATGCCAAAGCAGCCAACAAAAATGCAAAGACTCTTAAAATGGCTAAAAACGGCAAAATTGTGCTAAATCAGTCAAATGCACATTAATGTCTGAAAATGATCTAAAAGCACTAAATGAGTAATTGAAACGCAAGAGTTGTATCAAAACACCGAAGAAGAATTTATACTAAATAGAAGTGCACATTAAAACGATGAAATGGTGAAAACCCGACTTGAGGGTAAATCAACCAAATTGTCTTAAAACCTAAAAAAATGGGGCACAAACGCTGAAATATATTTTAAAAGCATCCTGAAAACTATCAGTATAATCTTCAAAACGCCTCACGTCTAAAACGTCCTCACAGCCTATAATAATAATTTAAAAATTTAAACCATAAGATGGCCTAGAATAGGCTTGAAAATGTAAAAACTTCGTTAAAAGCGTTACAACGACCTCTTATCTTTTATAATAATCTTAAAAACCTCGCCTCTCATAAACATTTTGAAACGTCGAAATAGTAAAACAAAACACTAAAAATTAAGGGTAAGACTTGCCCCGTAACGTGGGTAGATCACCTTTTCGTGGTACGTTACGGGATGTAAGATCTACCACCGATTCCTAGTCCTGACTACTTCAAACTAGGGGAACAGGATTTTTCAGTAATTCAAGGAACACATCTTAGTCCTTGTTACTTTTTATGCCTTGTTGATAGTGACAAGACTCGGCTTTGTCTACCGAGGATGATCTTGAAACAAGGCAAAAAATGAGTTAGTTGTCTTCATCTATGTGATTCCTAATCTTCTATCCGTTGTTCCCTAGTTCCTGACTACTTCATACTAGGGGAACAGGATTTTTCAGTAATCCAAGGAACACATCTTAGTCCTTGTTACTTTTTATGCCTTGTTGATAGTGACAAGACTCGGCTTTGTCTACCGAGGATGATCTTGAAACAAGGCAAAAAATGAGTTAGTTGTCTTCATCTATGTGATTCCTAATCTTCTCTTCGTTGTTCCCTAGTTTGAAGTGGTTAAGACTAGGGTTCTGATGCATGGTCATTATCGGTGTCATACCTTAATTTTGTTGCTAAGGAATTCAATTTTGACTGACAAAGGGGCGCGCCTTTGGAGGGTGTTTCAACACTCCGAAGGGTATAAATAGCGGGACCTTTCAATTAGAGTCGGATCCTTGCGATAAATGCAAGAGTGGCAACTGTAAAAAAATCGAATACTTCATCATTTCTCAATAGTGATGGAGTAATACGACATGCACTAAACTAAGGACACGGGATATACTACAATAGATCAATTTACTGGTCGCAGTAGTGTTTGGTCCCGAACAGAGGGAAAAAAAAAAAAGGGTAAGACTTTCCAAAGTGCCAAAACGGCCCTTGAATTCACTTTATGTTTTAAACCGGGAAAATGTTCTTATGCCCATGTTTTAACCATTAAGTTCAATAAATTTTCAAAAACTACCTTATAACACAGGCAGATGTGCCTATACTCCCCAAAATCGCATATCAGTCCCATATGGATAGGAAATCAAGCAAAAATGGGACTGATATGCGATTATGGGTAGCATACCTAAGCTGAAATGCTGTGGGGGACCAATATATAAGTAAAATTGCACCAGTAAATTAAAAAAAAAATCTCCAAAAAATAATCAATAAGGAAGATAAAATTTTCCCTAGTAAAGGTATGAAGTGCTACCTAGAGAATTCTGACATGTTCCATAAAAGATGTGAAATTCACCAAAAATAAAATAAAAATTTAAGTGATTTTATGGAACATTTTATCTTCTTCTTAAAGCTTACATTTACTGTCTTGTCAGAGTTTTTTTTTAGTTAAAAAATCGGAGGGACGGACATGCCTCCAAAAGAACCTTCTAAAAGACAAAATTTTCTCTAAAGAAAATTAGATGTTCCCTAAAACATATGGAATGAATCAATACAAACATTTATATATGTCATTATGGGTCAATTATTGATTTAATTGATTAGGAGTTAGTTTTACAGTTTCTATTTGTTTCTTCTTCTTCTTCTTAGCAGTTCAAGATTATTGCATTTCGCATATTAGCATATTACGTGCTCTCAATTTAGTGTTCTAGGTGCACTTCCACAGCTATTAAATTGAGAGCTTTCGATGACTGTACCACCATTTTTGCCTTTGAAGGGGGCACATTTAAGCACCCGGGGATTCAAGAAGTGGAGCAAATAGTACGAAGCAAATCCTTCCATTTCTGCTGGATACCTGAACACACAGGTTGGGTTCTCGCCATGTTTGCTAACCGATCAGATTAATTGTTTCCGTGCCGTCATCCACGGAAACAACGAAACTGATCGGTTAGCAAACATGGCGAGAACCCAACCTCCTATTGAGGTACCAATCCCATGCGATGATGCGTTGAGAATAGTAATACAGAAAATACGGCAACAATGGAACGGCCAATAATGGGTTGGCGTCCAGAGGCTCCAAGCTAAGAGAGGTCAAAGACGACACGCACAAGTGGACGGAACGGGGAAGCTTTATCGACCAGCGAGTGTTAAAACGGCTAAGAATTGGTAACACGCGGCTAATCCATACCTCTTTATTGAAGAAAGAAGCCCCGCCTAGTTGTTTTGGAACGGTTTTGGATGTGCGACACGTGATTCTGCAGTGCTAAAACTATGAAAGTCAACGATAAGAGAATGGCATTGACACAGTAAGCTTACAAGATGCTCTAGGAAACTCTGAGGAGCAAACCACCAATTTGCTGAATTTTCTACGTTAAACTGGACTGTACCGAAAAATTTGAAGGATGCAGAGAAAAGAATGAGGAGCAGTCGAAACCCGGTGTAGTGGCAAGAAGGTGAAGCAGACAAGGAAGGAAGAAAGAATGTGAAGAAGGAAAACTTGTAACAGGATGAAGGTCAAAGAAGGTGAACTAAGCTGGAGAGAATTGATACGGTCATATTAAGAAGGTGAAGCTAATAAAGAACACAAAGCGGATAGCGGATAGAAGAATAAGGAAAACAAC